CAGGTACCCACAGACGCCACAGGAACCACAAGTGTCAGATCCACTTGGGCAGAAGTTACTGGAAGTTTTGAGCTACCCAACATGGGTGCTGGGAAATGAGTTCAGGTCTTCTGCAAGAGCAATGTGCACTCTGCACCCTTGCTATCTTTCCAGTTCCCACCTCTTGAAGCCTTAGTCCCTTCCTGTTAACCCTTTCCATAGCCCAAAGGCTTCAAGCACACATGCCTGCTTTCATTCTCAAGCCCTTACACTCCTCCTGCTTCCGAGGTCTTTGTCAAAACTACCCACTCTGTCCAGAATACCCAGGTGTTTTCATTAGCCTTTACTTCTTAGCATGACTTTGATTTTCCCTCCTCAGAGACACCCAAAGCTAAGTGAGCATCCTCCAGTGTGTGCCCTGTTACTGTTATCTTTCACATGACCCTTATCATAATTTACAGTTTTGTCAGTATCTTATCTTTGAGCTTTATGAATTGAACTTATATTCTATTGAGTACAGTTTCTATTAGACATCTATGTGAGACATAAAGGACCTTGATATGGGAAGATTTCAGTAAGCATACCAGTCTGTCGTGTGGAAGATTAGATAGATAGGTATATGGATGGATGGATTCAATGCCACTTCTTAAATTCCTGCTATCATCACTGTGCTGGGATGTGTACATCTGCAGAAAAGGACAAAGCAGAAGTACATACCTATACTCACATTTCAGAAAGAGAGAGTGACCATACACGAACAAGTAAATCCATATGGTGGTGTACAGGACTTGCCTACATAAAGTTAGTATGCCTGTGGAACATTTTCTTAGTTGCTATTAGGATGGACTGTCCAGTCCACTATGGGCAGTGTCATCCCTGGTCTGCATAAGAAGGGTAGGTGAGAAAGCCAGTAAGCAGGGATCCTCTTTGTCTCTGCTTCAGTTCCTGTCTTGGCTTCCCTCAGTGATGGACTGTGGTGTGGAGCTGTAGTTCAAGTAAGCCCTTGCTTCCCAAGTTATTGTTGGTCATGGTATTTATCACAGCAACAGAAAAGCTGGTTAGGACAAGTCAGCTAGGAAGAGAATAGTGATTTTCTAAATTTAAGATAAGGCTATATAAAAAGAAGGACTTGCCTCCCTGGATAAGATAGGTCTCTGGGAAATGTTGGCTTCAAAATTGAGGTCTGAATGATAGGAACACTACTAAAAAAAAAAAAAAACTCAGAGGGAGTTGAGACAGAGGGATCAGCCAATAAGAAGACCGTGCAATAAAGTTAGCCTGCTACACGGAGTCCCATAGAACAGTGATGATGACCAGACAGGAAGAGAATGAATGAGAGAAACATAAAAGCCCATCACACTCCTGCAGGAGGCAGCTTAGAGTGGCCGGTGGTTTGCACAAGATGGATGGCTACAGAGTCGGGAGGTGAGATGGTCACACAAACTTTGGAAGAAAGCCAACAGGCCTCACTAGGCAGGAGAAGGATTTGGGATTTACAAAAATGGGGATCCTATTGGTCTCTTTCACCTGGTACACAACACAAACACGGCAAATTGGCTGTATGAGTGAATATAGGAACAAGCAAAAACCATAAGGAAATGGCAGAGGCAGGCCAGAGCGGGAGAGAGCTCATGCGCAGCCTACAGAGCTGAGTTGTTTGCCCAGTAAGGAAGCATGGGAGGGATTAGCCTTGAGAGCACTCGAGAACTAATTAATGCAGAGGAGAGAGGAAAACATACAGAAACCATCAGAACAGGATCACGGCAGAACGCCATCTAGCCCAGGGAAAGGGCAACTCGACGACATTCCAGACAGGCCAGAATGGAGAACACACTCCTCATTCCTGTTAAAACCCAGCCCAGGGACAAACGGTGAGTGCCAAAGAAGGAATGGAAGAAAAAAAAAACACATCCAGACACATAAATTGTAGGCCACAGCCATAATGATTCCTGCAGAGGGCAAAAGCTGTTGGGCACAGTGCTTGAGGAAGCCTTAGGATCACACTGGAGTCTTAGATTGCCTCTCCCAAGTACAGTCCTCCTCTTGATTTTTTTTTTTAACGTATGGTGCCATGTTGTCTTTGGAGGAAAGCATTTGATCTAAAGGACATATTAGAAGGAAAACAGCCTGGTGCATCCTCTGAGACAATCCCAGAGAGGATCTGAAACAAACCCAAGGACAAAGGAGTCCCCAGCGCAAACCAGTATGTTTACTGAAATCCTCCCATACCGAGGTCAGTCATGTGAGACATGAGTGTGGACCACCTAGGATGTCTAATAGAAACTGTACTTAGAGAGTATAAATTAAAGTCATAGAGATCAAGAAGGTGGAAAGGACAGGGACAAAGAAAAGTAGAAATAGAAAAAAAGACATATACCTAGAAAGAAAGGGAATGGGGGAAGGGACAACACAGCAGACCAGCCAGACATCAGATAGGGGAAAGGGTGTGCACGCTGCTGTTTGTCAAAGGGAAAGAAGGTAGAGATGTTTTTGTTCTTTGTAGGTTAATATGTAAATGACATTCTGATTTATTAGCGGTCTCCAGCAGATGAGGTGATGATTAGCACATTTCCATATTTATAGAAAAGCAACACTAACTTTTTGGATTTATAGAAAATCAGCCCTTCACAAATAGCAAATTGTGCTATTATCGACATATGGTTTTCTATAAACAGAGCTGAGGTAATTATCCCGGGACAATTTGTTGGTGGGCTCCTTTTGAATATTAACCACTTTGGAAGCCCATTTCTGCCCTACATTATTTTAAAGAGGAGGGGGCACCAGATACCCCAGGCAACTCATTAGTAATCCGACACTAAAGATAGGAGCCCAAACCACAAGAGAAACACCACAGGTCCAAGGCTCTGAGGTCAGATCCCTGAAGGCTTGAACAAAGTAAGTCATCTCCCAGATGAGCCTCAGTGTTTTTGTGTCTAACATTTGTACAACACTGTCCTCTTAAGTGTTGTCACAGAATTAAGTGAGAATATAGAAGTTACAACAGGGGTTTATTAAGTGCTCAATAATGATTATTTTCCTTCCTCCCTTGCTCTTTTTTTAATGACTTGGGGGAAAAAACTCATTTGAGTAGATTTCAAAGCTCTTTTTACAATGACCTTATGTTATTTAATTTCTATTTTAATATGACAGTATACATATATAAACATCTTTACCTAACTGGAAAATGTTTTCCAAAGCAATGGCCTACCTATCTTTGGTACTTAAAATCTACTAGGCTGTTTTATTTTCCATCCTTAGTCAATGACGCTTTTCAAAAATGTTGTAATCCATGCATTGATTTGGAGACCTATCACTGCGTTGCAACCCACATCTTGCAAAATGGCTAGGGGGTACCATTGTATCCCATGCACAAATACAGTAAATGTTCAGAAACATGCCTTGCATTGTTATAAGAAAAACAAAGAGTACATGCATAGAACAACAAATTTCTAAATGAGCTAGCCAAGAGTCTGAGTTAAAACTTCCTGTCTTGCTTTGCACATTCACTTAGTCTTGGGCCTGTGCTGAGCAGAAGAGACAGAAAAGCATGCGATGTGGTACTTGCTTTCAATGATGTTGCTATCTAATAGGGAAGACGTACTAATAGTCAGAAAGTTATTTCAATGCTGCAGTGTGTGTCATCCTTATGAGTAGGTTCAGGAGGAGGAGCGGACAACCCAACATCTTAAAACTGGGCATTTGAATTTGTTTTTGCAATAGGGATGGATCTTTCCATCTGTGATCACTCCTGGCCTAGGTCAGGGGTTCTCTCTAGAAAGTACCAGAATCATGTGGGGAGCATGTGAAAACAGAATTCTGGGTGTACACTCCAGTAGAGTTTCCTTCAGTTAGGTTTTGGGGTGAGGGCTCAAGAATCCACCTTTCTGATGAGTTATTGGATGGTGCGATGTAGCTGGTTTGGATCTTACACTGAGAACTTCTGTTGTATGGTTTTAAAGAGTTCATGAAGACTGTTGATGCTATACAAAGGGAATTAAACATCATCTTTCATCTTTCAGGTGTTAAATAAGGACTAAAGTCATTGGATCTGTGAAGTGTTTATCTGTCAGGTGACAACTGCTGGGAAGAGTTTAGATGAGCCAGGCCTGACCCTGGAAACCCTCTAGAAACTGGTGTTATAAGTAAAAGATAAAAGTCCAGCCTACCATAAAAGGCTGAAGATGGAGTGAGAAGGTGGAAGAGAGAAGGACTGAGAAGGAGGAATTATGAATTGTTTTCACTGAACAATTACAAAGAAGTTTATCAAAAACTCTATAGTCAGAATAAGTTAGTACATTTTAACTAGCAAAACTCTCAAAATCCTTTACTTATGAAAGGGTAATGGTGAGGTTATAGGAAGAACATAGTTTAGGTGACCAAGGCTGTCTTGAGTTCAAACCTTCCCTGTGGTATTTATTAGCAGTCATTCTAATAACTCTCTCCTCCCCATGAATGAGAACACACAGCTTCAGAGTCAGAATCAGGAGAGACACCGTAAACTGTGCTATAGTGGTTTGTTTTAACTGCCAACCTGACACAGTCTAGAATTACTGATGAAGTCTCAATAAGAATTTGTCTAAGCCAGGAGTCGGTGATGTACACCTTTAATCCCACCACTTGGGAGGCAAAGTCAGGAATATCTCTGTCTAGATCAAGTTATCCTGTGGTTATATCTGTAAAGAATTACCTTGATTATATTAACTGAGGAGGAAAGCCATACTCACTGTGGGTGGCACCATTCCCTGGGCCAAATCTGGAAGTGGATCTAAGTGTATATAATCATAAACACACATGCATTCATTTTTTTCTGCTTCACTATGGGTGCACTTTGACCAATCATCTCAAGTTCCAGCCACAGTCGTTCTCTACAATTAGACTGTACCCTAGAACTGTGAGATAAATCATTTCTCACCTAAGTTGCTCCTAATAGGGTACTGCATCCCAACAACAACAAATGAAACGAAGATACACACCCCACTGTGTGTGCTGCTCACCGTGCCTGGAACTCTGGATCCACTTACCATCAACCTCCATTTTCTTTTTGTCGAGCACCAGTATATATTCATAAATACCACCCATGGTTCCAGAGGTAATGTAGTGGGTGCCGTAGTCATTGATGAACTTGGCATACATCCCATAGTTGAACTGCTCTGGGAGCTCCATTAGTGACTGCAGCATTCCTTCATCCAGCACAATATTGCTCCTCCTCATCTTAAAATGTGCAGTCTGTACCTTTGTAGACACTCTCATGAAGCTGAATCTCTTTCAGCAGCATCCAAATGAGGCCAAATAACAACAAAAGCATGGGAGATGAATACAAGAGGTCGGCATTATTAGCTGAAGAAAACACAGCCATCAACACATGTAATACAATATTGTCAGACCTGACAAGCACATACTAGATACCAATATATGAAAGACTTCCCCCATGCATTCCCCTCTGTTCTTTGCACCACAGGTCATGTTCACAGCAACTCCTATATCAGTTAAGTACTGAGGGGCAAATGTCTGGTAGATAGATGAGCATACAAACCTTCTTATCTACTTGAAAAACTACATCTTGTTTTTAGAAACCTTGTATGTCAAATTTAGAGGGCCAGGCTGGTTTTCTTTAATCCAACTAGTCTGTGTTTTCCTATATGTTCTAGGTAACCATGCAAAGACTGGGGGAAGAGCAGAATGATAGGCATTCTAGTCTTATAGTGAAGCTCTATTCCATTTGTGATGATGAGTCTGTGTGCAGAGGCATAATAAAAAACAAACATGATCACCACTGATCAGACATTTCCAATTACACAAGCAAATTAAGGTTCAATTACTACTGTACTTTTTAATGCAATTAACATAATACGTGTTCTGTGTAGATTATGGAATACTTTGAAACACAGACTTTATGTTTCAATACCTTCTCATTATACTTGCTTAACTCCTTCATGAATGAAGATTTGTCGAACCAGGATACACTCCCCATCAGTGTTATAGGAATTTTTGCTGGGCCTATGCCAAAGGTTATGCCATCTGACTGTGACTTGTCATTTTTTATTTTAGAAAAGAGCTCATTGGCATCGTCATATAACTCTGAGGATATTAAAGTATCTGCCAGGGCCTAAAAAGAGAAAACTAGATGTTAGCGCTGTGCCTGACTCTCAGCTTATATGTGCCGTCAGAATCTCTGCTTTGCTAGCTCTCTGAAGTGCCAGATTGACGTGTCTGCTTTCAGAAGCTAAGCCACGCATCAGATTGAGGCTCACTAAAATAGAGAAAACCCAGCAATGTTTCTTGGTGTCAAGTGGAATTTCTGAGATGTTTATTTACATTGCATATGCACTTGCTTGTTCCTGCATGCCGATAATTATGTCAAAATGTTAATTATATTCAAAGCATAGATTTTCTTGAGCGTGAGGGGTTGCTCATCCTTTATGAATGCAGGCTGCTTGCTTGTACTGCGGAGGGTAGCTGAAAGCCATGTCTGGGCATTGATCTGGGTGCAAAGGGGTCAAGAAGGCCAGGAGGATAATGATAATCCCAATAAGTGGGATTCAGTGCAACCCACAAAGGTTCAGCTGTTTCTTTCCCTGCACTCAACAAGATTGTATTTACCAGATGACTTAAGCGAGGTCAGTGTCTTATCCTATATTTGAGCAATAGTACACCTTTCAGAGCTTGTGACCCTGAGAGCATGTGCTGCAATGGTACCTTCATCAGAGTGAGTCCTTGAGCATTTGTTATGTTCAGACACATACATTAGCCATAAAGATTTTAGAACCCTGTGACCATCTCTAGACTATCTCATTTTGCCTGACACACAGACCCTAGACCTTCCTTGTAGTTAGGGAAATGGATTTTCAGCAGCCTATTATCCAGTAGAACTAACCACAGAACCGGGGAAGTAAGTCTTAAAAAACAGACCCTGCATGGTTGCCAGTGCTTCCTATCAATACCTTCTCTTAAGTGGCTTGGGAGTGGGGAGGATGTGTCTAGATAATTGTTCATTCCATCTGCTTCTGTAGATGTGTGCATATCTAATGTTATATGAATCTATATATATAGCATATATGCCCACTCTCCTAAGTGATGTATAACCTGGTCTTAGTTTGGACAGATCTGATGAGAATCTTGTCTCTGCCAACTATTGCATTACAGCTCTGGGACTGACACTATATTCCTTTGTATTTTCTTTCTAATATCTGGCAGGGATACTGACACCTGGATCTCAGATTACTGCTAAGTGGCAGTAAGGGTAAGTGGCAGAACTTACATGGAAGATCTGGCCACACACAGCAAACTTTTGGTGAACTTGACAGTATGGACAACCCCTTACCAGGCTGAAGGTAAGGAAATGAGTGGCCTTGAGCTGGCTCTGAATCTTACTGTGAGCCTTGTGATGCTCTGAGTGATCTGGAAACCACGAAGGCTTAACATGGAGTCACATAGACCACCAGTAGTTTGTGAGCCCTTTTGAAAAGAACATTTTTTAAAAAGCAAAGTCACATTAAGAAATAATATGAAAATGACAGCTATAAGTTACCCTTGGTGAAGCGTGAGGAGTAGGGGTCAGAACTCCACCCATCTGTGTCCTACTCCCATCTTCCAGATTGAGAGAGTGTCCCAGGGAGAAATGGCAGATTAGTTGTTCACAGTCTTTTGTAGTTAGAGTTTAACAGAGTCCATTATGGAATAGGGCTGGAGAAGAAGGCCCAGATCTGCTTCACTGGTTTGGGAATGGAGCCCAGATTGAGCAGGTGGGTGCTATGTTCACATTTTGGCTCTTCTACGCTCGTCACTGAGCATATTATGTGCAGCGGATATGAAGGAGTCTTCAGTCACCAGCAAGTCTCATGAAAATAAAAGCCTCCAGAGTAAACAATCTCCCCTGAGGGGTTGTTCCCTCCATCCCACCCCATGCCATCTCCATCAGACTTACTTCAAAGTGGTACGTAAGGAAGTTGTAGGGTTTCCGAAAATATTTCTCATCATCCCCGTAGTAGAGGCGCTCACAGGTTGGGTCATACTGGAGCTTCCTCCACTCACTGTTGTACACAGTCTCACACTGGCCGTCATAATACTTGGCATCATACACACTCTGGGCTTCTTCTTGAGTCAGGATATTGTACCTAAGTGGAAAAAACAAACAGCTTCCTGGAAAAATCTTTGCAAAGAAAATGTAACATGCAATCCTCTAGAATGGATTGTAGCTGGTGCTTAAGGGCTGGTCTCACCGGATGTGTTTGGTGAGCCCTGGGGTTCCTTCAAGTACCTTGGGGCACAGAGGGAGAGCTGGCAATACTGAGAGACTGGATGGACTGGGCCCGGGCCCCGGGTAGCCTCTAACCAGAGCATCTGGACCAGTGTCCTAAGGAGGCAGTTCTGATTAGCTGCTGAGGTAGGGGAGAACATGCGCAGTTATTAAGAATTCAAGCACAGAAGCCAGTGAAATTCGTGCCACTGATAGCTGTGGGGACTCAGGCAAAATTGTCTTATCTCTCTGCCTCACTATAGTCACTTGTTAAAAGCAGTTAGTAATAGTACCAGCCTCCTGGAGTTAGATATACATTAATACATACTAAAGGCACCATAGACGGGCTTGGCATATGTTATACTGAATAGATTCAGTTGGTTTGAACAAGAATGACCCCCACAGGCTCTTGTATTTGAACGCTTGGTCCCCAGGAAATATTAAGAGGTGTGACCCTGTTAGAGGAGGTGTGTTGCTGAAGATGGGATGTGAGGTTTCAGAAGCTCACATCATTTCCTGCTAGCTCTCTTTCTCCTGCTTGAGGGTGAGACGTAAGCTCAGCTACCACTCCAGCACCATGCCTGCCTGCCTGCCGCTATGTTCCCTGCCATGAGTGGTAGTGACTCTAACTCTCTGGAACCATGAGCCCCAAATTAAATACTTTAGTTTTTGGGGGGGTTTTGTTTGTTTGTTTGTTTGTTTGTTTTGGTTTTTCGAGACAGGGTTTCTCTGTATTGTTTTGGAGGCTGTCCTGGAACTTGCTCTGTAGACCAGTCTGGCCTCGAACTCACAGAGATCCTCCTGCCTCTGCCTCCAGAGTGCTGGGATTAAAGGTGTGTGCCACCAATGCCCAGCTAAATACTTTGTTTTATAAGTTGCCTTGGTCATGGAAAGGCAACTGTGATACATACCTCTATTGCTGGTCTTAGTATTATTTCAGAAAGGGCTCTGATACTAAAAAGTGAATTTGAATAATCATAAATGTGTAAGACTCTAATCCTCATAAAATCCATTGTCTTGGAGTCAGCCTAGGATGACAAATGTGTACAGGGGAATATCAGGAAGAACTATGAGTAATTTCCAGCTCTGCCACTTCCTATAACTGTGACTTTGTCACCATAGCATAGACATTAGAAATGACTCAAAGTTCTGAGACTGGACATGAAAGTCTCTTATGCAACAAATAATGAAAATGTTGCTCCTTTCTGCCTCCCAAACTCTCATGTAGCCTTTGAGACTCAACTCAAATTTGCTTCCTCTATATGGCCTTCTTTGAATGCTCAGATAGTCAGGTCCACCCTGCCAGACCCCTGGGTTTCTGGCAGCCAGTACTTACCTTTTATATGGTACTCCCACGACTGTTTATGTCCTCTGGGACAGGCACAGAAAAGGAACAAAAGATAAAGTGTGACTATAACCTATCTCAAAGAATATATGACTAACTACAGAGCACCCGACATAGCTTAGAGGTTCAATGTATGTGCATGTCCATCTCCACCTCTTCCTTATTAGTAGAAGTGATGTAATACTAGCTATGATTGGTCGAATGCATACTACGCCAGACTATCAACACACATTAACTTTAGACCTCATGACAACTTTGCAAATGCAGAAATTGAAGCTCAAAAAACAAAAAAGAAACACTATACCTAGTCACAATGGATTTTGTTTTCCCCAAGCTGTTTTTGACACAAAGAGTACATGTTCCCTGTCTTTATCTCCACCCTCCAGTTTCTATCTGCCTACCCACTAAGAATGTTTCTGTCTGAAATTTAGAAGTGCAGCCTCTGAAACATGCCAAACCAAAACCAAGAGCACAGTGGTCCTCAAAAATAACCATTAAGCCTGCAGCATCTGGGAAAGCCACAGTGGAAGTGAAAACAATACTACTCTGCTAGGAATCTACAGGTGTGTGCAAAGGATACACAGCACTGTTTGGGAGAGGGAGGATGGGAGTTAGGATCTGGATGCGAAAAGATCTCTGTGCAATCATGTTTGAACGTTTAGTCCCCAGCTGAAGGAGCTGTTTTGAGAGGCTGTGAAACCTTTTGTGTGGGGGCCTCACTGGGTGAAGTGTGTCTTGGGGTATAGACTTTTAGGTTTGTAGTCCCTCCTTCGAGTTTCCTAATCCACCAAGAGGTGAGCAAGCAGCCTCATGGCTTTGCCATCACATTTATAAGACACTCCCATTGTCATGCCTTCCCCGATAATGGACTGTGTCCTCAAACCATGAGCCAAAATTAATGGTTCCTCTCCTACGTTGTTTCCTGAGGTTGCAAATATGAGAAAAGTAACTAGCACAATGAGAAGACATCTAGTTGGCTTTCAGAGAGAGATAGTCAAATGAAATATTCTATAGTTACATTACAAAAGAGTCAGCAGCTGGACATTGGTGGCACATGCCTTTAATCCCAGCACTTGGGAGGCAGAGACAGGTGGATCTCTGTGAGTTTGAGGCCAGCCTGATCTACCGAGTGAGTTCTAGGACAGGCTCCAAAAGGACTGAGAGACCCTGTCTCGAAAAAAAAAAGAGTCAGCAAACATATTTTATAAAGGTTCAAAGGTTCAGAGAGTAAATATGTTGGGCTTCAAAGGATGTAGGCTTTAACTGCTGCTACTTAACTCTTCCATTTTAAGGCAAAAACTGTGTTCTAATAAAACTTTATTTATAAAGACAAGAGGATTTTGTCTTCACACTATTGTTAACCATTGTCACAGGACACCATGTTTTTTTCTTTAAAACGAGATAGGGAACATGTGTTTTAAGAGGAACGCATCAAATGGTATTTGTAACAACAACAAAAGAATTGAAATTTGTTTCTTATTTTTGAAAGAGAAAGAACATAAAGATGAATAGGGAACAAAGTTAGAGCATCTTGGATGAGTCAGGAGAGGGGGATAGAAACATGATCAAAATTGTTGTATGGAAAACATTTTTTTTAACTAAAACCAAAAAGTGTGTAACAGATGTATGCCACAATGATATTTATATAAGTACTTCCTGCATTTTTTTAAGATGCTCATAGTGAAGGTTTGTTTCCCAGATCTATTTTTAAATCTAATCTGGAAGTGGCTGAACCATGTCTTAACAAGGTCAACTCTAGGGAGGGAAGGGACAGGGGGCCACTGGGTGAGGTACCAGCATGTAAGTAGAGCACATGATGACACAGTTTTGCCTCAAATATACACTGTATATTTAACAAGAAATAAAACTTTGAAGCTAAAAAATGCTTAAATTAGGATTAAAATACCAAGAAAAGTTTCTAACACTTTGAAAAGTACAGCATTATGTCAAAATATCAACTGCTTGGTGGAGAGAGCACTGTGTCACTGTTTACTGTTTTCTGGTTTCAGTGTGAGAGAAACACACTGTTCAGGATGTGTGTCAGAACTGCTCCTGGTCCAGTTGCAGGAGAGCAGGGTGGGAGTCTGCAACATTTTTGTCAGTTGGAGAGGATTCTTTTTCCGTTCAACACTTCAGCATTCCATTCTCTGTGCACCACAGCTACTTTCTAAATCAACAAGAATCCCCTTTGATTGTGCTGTATGCTCATAGGTTAGTGTTCTAAGTACCAGAATCTCAAAATGTGTTGTTAATTGGGGACAGACCCACTAAAGAAGTAGTTAAGTGGGACTAGAGAGGTGGCTCAGTGGTTAAGAGCACTGGCTTCTCTTCCAGAGGACCCAGGTTCAGTTCCCACATTGGCAGATCACAACTGTCTAACTCCAGTTCCAGGGGATCTGACCCCATTGCACACATATACATGCAGGCCAAGCACCAAAGCACATGAAATAAAAATGAATAAAGCTTAAAAACTTTAAAAGGGAAGTAATTAAGTTCAAATAAAGGCGCTATGCTACAGCTAAGTCTTGTCCCAGAGAACAAGGTTAAAATGTTAAAGTTAGGACATGGACATATATAAGACTCTGTGAAAACCCAGGAAGATGACAGCCACCTGTGAGCCCAGGAGAAAGCCCTGAGAAGAAACTAGGCCTGCTGACAACTTATTCTCAGCATCTAGTTTCCAAAACCATGACATTTGTTGTTCCAGCTACCCAGTTTAGGGCACTTTGTTATGGCCATCCTAATAAAAAAGGTCCAGTTGGTTTCAAGAAAAGCACACTGCTTGGTGCTGCATTGTGAATCTACATGCATGTACAGGATCCAAACCATTTGGTGATCGAGCTGTGATCTCAGAACAACTAAGTGTTATGGATGAGAGCTACCTGACAGAGAGCTCAGTGTCCCCGGGTAGGCTGTAATCTGATTGGGTCACTTGTGACAATTACTACCTCACACATGTCTTTCTCTGAAAAGAGGCAGCTGCTCACATTATGTGCTTCAGTGGAGTCTAGAGTCAGTGAGAAGGGAAGTTATGACATACTCTGACAGAGTTGAGGACATGGAGAGCATGAATCATAAGCGATTTCTGCCCTCAAGGAGTTGAGACTCCAGGTAGAGGACAAGGTCAAAGGCAGAGACAGAATAGAAGGAAACTGACAACACTGGATGATTGCCATGAGATAACCCTGGTATTGGGACACAGGGAGTTCTGTGCCTCGACAGGTAGACACCCTAATAGTTGTCTTCGTCCCTGATGGTTGCATGTTGGCATAGCAGGATAGGATGCTCTGTGAACTGTAGGAGGGGCTAAGGCAATCCAGGCATAGTCAAGAGCAGGTGAGGGACACTATCTAGATTTCCTAAAAGTCATACTGAGCAGTCACATTAATAGTATACTTGGGTGCCTTAAAAATATCAGATTGGTGCCTTACACATCAGAACTCATTTTTTTCTTTAGTTCTATATGCAAAATCAAATTTTTCTTGAGGTTGGTTTCCAGTGAGAGTTGTTTTGTTTTATTGTTGTTTTTTTGTTTGTGTTTTCATACAGACAGCTGCTCTTTTCATGTCCTCATGTATATTCTTGTCTATACAGTTGTGGAAATAGATTGCAGATCTCTTCCTTTTTTTCTGTAGATGCCAATCCTTTTGGATTAGGACTTCATCCTTCTGACCTCACTCAACCTTAATTACCCACTCAAATCCCTGTCTACAAATACGATCACATAGGTGCTCAGGGTTCTGACATAATTGGAGAGAGACTTCTTGTCCATAATACTAGACAAGAAGTCATTCAGGTCAGGGCATTGAAAAAGATACTGCAGAAAGAAGAAATAAAATTGATCCGTGCTCATAAGGACTGAGTGTGTGGCGTTCAGGGAGTTGTGCCTGGACACAGGTGTATGTTGAAGAGAAATGAAACTTGAAGCTGATTTCAGCTCAACATAAAAGCTATGGTCTGAGAGGCGAATCAAACAACGACAAGGTTGAGGTTCAAGCTTCAGTACCACCACGAAGCCTGTTTTCTTTGCGCTGTATCACACTGTTAGCTTGTCAGAGTGCAGTGAGCAAGGCTGCTGGAAATGTCAGGTCCAGCTGGAGAGAGCTGCCTTTGAGGACATCTGGGAATGTTTCATGGAAGATAGTGGCCTTAGAGATGAAAGAAATTTGGGCTGAGAGGAGAGGGACAGTAAAGAGGGGAGAAGGACCCTCAGGTTGAAAAAGAGGGACAGAGTGGGTGACGTCATATTACCAGAACCATGCAAGCTACCCTAGGAGACAAAAGTTCCTTGTAGCTACAGGTGCCCTGCTGTGGAGTAATCCTTCTGTACACTGTGGAAACGTGTTGCTCTCCTTGTTAATAAAGAACTGATTGGCCAAGAGCTAGGCAGGCTTTTCAGGATAGAGGGAATACTGGGAAGAAATAGGGTGGAGTCTGAGGAATCACAAGCCAGATAAGGAAGAAGAAACATGGGAAGTTCATAGATGAGGTAAACAAGTCCTGGGGCAGCACATGATTAACAGAAACGGGTTAATTTAAGTTATAAGAGCTGGCTGGAGACAAGTCTAAGCTACCGGCTGAGCATTTATAATATTGGTTTATGTGTCATTATTTGGGGAGTGACTAGAGGGACAAAGAAACTCCGCCTACAGGTCCCTTCAGAGGAACCTTCAGAATATCCATAATGACAAAGGAATCATTTGCCGTGCTTGAACAACCACAAGATGTCCACTTACCCTAGGGCTGCCCTTTCTGATCCTGGGATTGGTTCATACTGATGGCAGTCATCCTCAGCGGCCATGGCATCCTCACAGTTGTCCTCATCAGAGCCATCGAGGCAGTCATTGTCTCCATTACATACCAGGTGGCGTTTCAGGCAGCGACCTAAGGGAGACAAGGCTGAGAGTGCTTCTGAGGCCGTCATCACAGGCTTCCCTACTTTTGCCCCCCAACTTTCCCTATTCTGTCTGTTTGCACCACCTCTTCCATCATTGCTAGCTGTCTAGCCCTGTGTTGTGTCCCTAAGCTCTGGCCAACCCATCTCTCCCTCTCAAATCCAGCCTCTACATCAAACCCTCCAATCATCCTCTAAAATGCCAGTCTGCTCATGCCACTCTCCTGCTCTATATCTGCCAAGGGTTCCTGTGGAGGTTTGAAAGAAAATGGCTCACAAGGAGTGGCACTAATAAGAGGTGTGGCCTTGCTGGAATAGGTGTGGCCTTGTTGGAGGAAATGTGTCACTGGGCATGGCATTTGAGGTCTCAGAAGCTCAAGACAGGCCTAGTGGTTCACTGTCTCTTCCTGTAGATACAGAGTACAACTCTTAGCTCCTTCTCCAGCACGGTTTCTGTCTGTATGCTACCATGCTTCCCGTCATGATGATAATGGACTAAATCTCTGAACTGTAGGCCAGGACCCAATTAAATGATTTCCTTTATAAGAGTTGCCATGATCATGGTGTCTCTTCACAGTGATAGAAAGTCCTCACCCTTCCAAATGCCACAACCTGAACCCTGGTTGCTACCCTATTCCAGGTTACCTTAAGGGTCCATCATCCAACCTTGTCTCTTTCTAAAGCCCTCAGGCTATAAAGATTCGGGGACAATTGTAAGTCCCTGAATTCTCATGTTTTTTCACATGCCTTCTTCTGGAAGTTTCAACTGTTGTTGTTTTTTTTTTTTCAAACCTCAACTCAAATACCATTTTAAGGACTTCCCTGAGTCCCCCAAAGCTCATTTGGGTGTCCCTGCTAAAGAATTGCACACAGCCCAAGACTAGCCCATGGAACTATAATTGACCTCTTGTAGGTCTCTTCTCCAAACAGATTAGGACTGCTTCAAGGTCAGGGACATTGTTTTTAATTTGCATATTAACAGCAGGAAGTGCACTGCCTAGACCTTAATATGTACCTAGTAATTGTTTATTTAATAAATGTTATCTTTCAACTACAAGTTGCACTTTCTCTAAATATATATATGGACTGGCTAAAAAGTTAAGAATGCTCTTGCATAGGTTCTGCATTTCAGTTCTGAGCATCCATACCAGGTGGTGGCTCATATCACATAGGCTGTAATTCCAACTCCAGAGGATCTGGTGCCCTCTTCTGTCCTATATGGGCATCTGCACTCACACATGCACATACTGCCCTTCTTTATACATATAATTTTAAAAATAAAATAAGTACTTTAAAAAAAATTGCATGGGTTACTAGTTGGCTTAAAATACAGATCTCTGGGCCCTTTCCCAAACCTCCAACAGTTAGGAGGCTGCACTTTAACCAACTTACTTTGCACGCTATGTTTGACAAGCCCAGCTGTTGTTGTATTGGCATGCTACTCACCTGTCTCTCCACACTGGAAATCCTGTCCACACTGTGCTTGCCTCACACAAGGTGTGGGGCTGTTACAGCTAGTCTCATCCCAGATGTCACCACTGCAGATGGTTCCCCCAAACTTGCTTGGCTGCAAGAGGCTCCGGTGCCGGTACTAAATCAGATTGTGAACCAGATATAGTCTTGTCAATCAATCATCTAAGATCTATGCAGGCAGGTCTCAGTTCAACATAAGGAATAGCTGTTTCATGATTGAAAGCTGCCTTCAGGGCTGTCTTATAAGGGGATAAATGATCATGCACTGTGGTGTTCAGACAGGTGGCACAGTTATCAGCTGGAATTCTGAATACAGATGTGAAATATCAAAGGAAAGGCTGGGACAGATGTTCTATGAAGGCTTTCTTACTGCTTAGGGAAGATCCCTGTTCCCATATTCAACCAGCTACAAAGGTTTATCTTTCAAATTCCATGGCTTCCCTCCCCTGGAAAGCTTTCCCTGTCTCCATCATGTACTCTACAATTCCTCCTCCTTCCTTAGCACTTGGCAAATAAGGCAGTGACAAAGAATCTGCCTATTTGTCTACTTGTCAACCATCTCTGTGAGAAAATCACAGGTTGAGATGCCACAGTGAAGGGACATGAAGGAAGGACAGCCTTAGCCACTTTCATATACTCAGACTTGAACTCTGGTCAGGTACACTTTTAGAGGCCATTGCCACTGTGCCTTTGCAGGGTTTGTTTGTTTGTTTGTCTTTTTCATGAAATTCTAGAGCCTCAGGATTGGTGTGTATTTTAATTCTTCCTGTCTTTTTATCAATAAGCATTTACTCATATACAGTCAAGGCTGGATTCAGAAAATTGATCAAGGGTTAGTTATTGGTGTAGAAATAGGAGGCCAAGAACTAGGATATCAAGAGAACTGTGGGGTGTCATGGCTGGCTTCTAGGTTAGCACTCAGTTGAGATACAATATATAACAATACAAAACACACTGCCTGGAAAGCATCCTGGAGTGATGGGCAATGAAACTTTTAGTCCTGTATCTTCTGCCTTTGACCTTGACTCAGTCAAAAGTCCTTCCCCCAAGAATGTTAACAAGTAAAGAAGCAATGATTTGATCATCTGTGAGTTGCTTCTTTAATCTGTGAGTCCCAGGTACTTTTGCCCAGATTTAAGTCTCCATCCCTTTCACTTGCCTGGGAGAACTGAACTAGACAATGTATTTATGTAAAGCATGACTGTGGTGCCTGGGACATGGAAAGCCTTGATAAATGGTGACTATTAGCACCATCACCGTCCTTCCTGTAGCGCCTGTACTTGGAACAATGCTGTAAGCCTTCAAGTTCATTTCTCTCCGTTGAATTTACCAGGTTGCTTTCAAATAATGGAGGCAGTGGGTTGTTGGAAGGCAAGTGTCAATACTCCCTAAGGGACTTCTCTGTGCTGTTGCCTGTAGCTTGTGTCATTAAAGCATAATTTCCTTTTCTGTGTAGTAGATAATGTTTCTTTCCAGAAATGCACATCTTTGTTTGGGTGACTTTAAGAAGAAGAAACATATTAATAAATAAAATAAAGGTGGCACTTTACTTAAATAATTAATGGCATTTAATATATTAAGGATTTCTTCATAGACACATATATCTTCCTAAGTATTTAAGGAAGTAATTCAATTCTGATATAAGCCCTGTGTAATCTGGTACCTAAACAAAAACATATGAGAAAAATGCAGGTTTAGGATATTCAATAGGTTGAGTGATGATCACCAAAAAGTATAACTCAAAATCTGTAAAAAGTTTTAATTTGCAAAACAGTTTGCTTAAAATATTAGCAGTTTTGAGATGTGATTATTTGGGGTTTTCTGAGTAGCCCAAAGTATTACCATACTATCTTGAAAGAAGGGTGTACAGGAGGATTGCAGGCAGACACATGGGGGAGAAGACACAAAAGGAAAGGAAGCAATGTGTCTGGAGAGACAGAGGGAGAGATGCAGCCATAGGTCAAGGGCTATTGGCAACCAGCAGCAGTGGATGGGGCAAGGCACACATTCTCCCTTGGGGTCTCCAAAAGGAGGAAGGCACTGCTCACCTCTATTGCCTTCCTCTGGCCTCCAGGACCCCGAGGGGACAAATGTCTGCTGTGGAAAGCTAGTGTGTTTGTAGAAATAGGCTACTGTGTTTGTAGAAATGTATTATTGTTGACTTGGGAGATTAATATATATCAAGATGAAGTGAGCCAACTTGCAGGGGCTGGATTTAAATAGGTGAGGTCTGAGGGTCTTATTTGTTTGAGCTAGGAAAGGCAGAATGCTGAATTTTAGAGCTTGAAATTCAATAATTCAGGTCCAAATTGTGTTTCCACTACTTCTTAGCTCTTTGATTTTTTTAAACAACTCACAACACAGTGCATCTCAGCTTGTCAAGTGAGTTTCGAGACAGGGTGAGCACCAATGGGCCCCACACAAGCTCTGCTGTCAGAAGATCAGGGCTCAATTCAAGATCATGGAGGAAGCAGAGTGGGGTACAGACTATGATTATAAAAATCCAGGACGTTTGTCAACACCTGTTATGCCATGTGCCTCTGTCCATGTCACTCGTCGAGCGCTCAGTAACTCCACACTGTAGGCACTGTGCTACTACCGCAGTGAGGTGCAGAAAGGGTAAAGAAAAATAAGTCCAAAGGAATAAAGCAGGTAGGAGGCAGCATCAGACCTACACTGTAGAACTGCAGAGTAAACACTTGAGCTCGACAGTATTGCCCTGACACACAATATTCAGTCAGTGGTGTTTGAAGCAAAAAGGCTGGGGATGGTGTAGCCCGCCGGGATATATCCCATACAAAGGCAAGCATTGCTTGAAGAGATTCGTGAACAATATACAACACGGTACATGTTAGACTGCTTTTTGTCAACTTGAGCCAGTGGCTTCTAAGTAAATGAGAATTTTATGCTGTCCTTTCATATGAGACTGGATTTAGGAACCGCCTTGGAGCACTCAAAACTATCTAAACAGGCACCATGAACATAATTATGTGTTGGATATGCTGAGCTTTTTAACCATGGGAATATCCTTTGTGGCATTGCTGGACTTCTGTTGGGCGCAGGCAGCAGCTCAGAGACAATTTGCCTTTTAGTACTACGCCATCTAGCAGTCCTTCCATATTACCTTCATTAGAGGGCAAAATGTTGGCCAGGACTCAGAGCGTCCATAGAGTTTCAACGTGTCTGTGACCTGGTGGCTATTTTCCTGTGACATAACCAGACACTTTCAGCAGCCTTGCTCCATGATGTGTTATTAAAAAAAAAAAAACAAGAGAGGCAGACACAAGCATCACCACCCAGGTTCTGAATGTTTCTAAATGCCTATGTCCAGATCCAGTTTCATTCTAGAACCTAGACATATAGTCCCAGCTGCTTATTTCCATTGGTACCTAATGCACAAACCAGATGCTCAATACCCCAAAATCCACCTAGATGGCTTACCTTTTTGTTCTGACATGGAAAACAATCTGTCCATTCTGACCAGTTGCTCAACTGACAGGCAACTGCTTCAGGGGTTGCAGCTCGACTAACTCGCCTGAAAGAAGAAACCCCTGTATCAATTTTAAGACTCAAAACTATGTGTGTACACTTTCCTACTAGTGGAAGTGTGTTTTGTAAGACATGAAGAAAAAGTATTTATTATGTTCCTATGAGAGGCTAACTATTGGTACTGAGGCAGGCAATTTACAAGGATGGTTATCCCGGAATAGCTGGACACACCCCTTTCTCAGCAAACAGTTGGTCCCTCTGCCCTAGCAATTCCCCTTTTGTGGTTGGTTTGTGTTCAGACATATTCTAGTACTAGAAATGAGCCAAACTGGTTTTAGTTGCAGACACAGCCAGGCAAACTGTGCTCTCAGAATGAATTTTTATGGGGTTATGCATGACTGGGTATGCATGATTAAAATTATGGGATGAAAAACCCATGTCTGCACAGAAGTCCTAAATTTCCACCTGTCAATAAACACTTATGAGAACAAAGACCACCAACCCTGCCTCTAGCAAACTGCCCTCCTGGACTCATAAAAGGAAGTCATGAGACATAATGTGGGGCTCTTGTGCAATCACACCAAACCTGCTGCTCTCATGAAGGGTGAGGAACTGCACTGTGGTTATAGATAAAAGTCCTTGATACATTGCTAGTTGTGTGCACGTCAGTTCTTTGAACAAGATACCAAGAACCTGAGACACAGCCCAGTCCAGGCACCAAGCACCAATAACACTATTCCTATACATCATAATCATTGTCAGATAGCACAAATGATTACCATTTTAGAGATATGAGTTCACTGGTGATGTATTTTTTTTCATGAGCCAAAGAAGCAGAAATTTTGGTGGCTAGACACAATTGAGGCCAGGGTCTGGCTTCCAAGATTTCATATTTTGGCTGTGAGCCTAGTCTTTAATGGCTGAGCCATCTCTCTAGGTCTGGCCTCAAGGAGGTGTTGGACATCTCTAAGCTGTTTTCTCATTGGTAAAACAATTGTTGACAAACAGCACTATCAAACAACATTACTGAAAGCACATACAAATACTTATAAAATGTTTACTAAAAATTGTCCTTAAGTGTGGTGTACTGAGATATTCCATAGACCATATCATTTAGTCTTTGTAACCATCCTAGGAGGTAAATATCATGTCTCTATTTTATTTCACTAGAGATAGATCCTATTGTTATACCTTAATCTTGAACTTCTCAGCCTCCCAAACTATAAAAACAATAACATTTGCCATTTAAGGCATCAGGCCTGGCTGAGAATGTGGTTTGGTGGCAGATGTACAAGAGCTGCCAATCATGTACAAGGGTTCAATGTTGAGCAGTCAGAAAAAGCCACCAGCCACAGGAATTTGTGACAGATGGCTATACCAAGTAAAGTGGCTACTTTAGTTTACAACTCATGGGACTGCGCTTCCTCTGGTCAACCATTACTCTGGCATGCTGCATGTTCTTGGGCCTTCTTCCCATTTTCCATTGGAATGATTTCAAAACATCTAGTCTAGAATTAGGGTTTAATAAGTTGAATAACTTTTTCTGCTTTTAGGACTTTCTATATAACTTTCGTTTTATCCCTTTGACTTGGTGATAGTGCCGCCTTGATTGATGCTAAGACCACAGCAGTTCCACCACCAATATCCACCCACAGTGCAAATATAACACAGTGAGAATGGGAAACCATGCCATAGCATCACCAGGAAAATAGTTTTAGACATAATTGGGCCTGTGAATTCAAAACAAAATTTCTAATAACAGAGATAACACTTATAATTTTTATTGTGTTTATAGTTGCCCTGTGGGTCTATATGCCACACTTAGAGAAATGGAGCCTCAAAAGATGTTTTAAAATGGGTTGAGAAAGAAATCAGAGAAACATCACTCTTTACAATGGCCACAAACAACATAAAATACCTTGGGAGAACCCCAACCAAACAAGTGAAAGACCTGTGTGACAAGAACTTTGAGATTTTAAAGAAAGAAATTAAAGAAGATACCAGAAAATGAAAAGGTCACCCATCCTCTTGGATAGGTAGAATCAATGTAGTAAAAATGGCAATTTTGCAAAAAGCAATCTACAGATTCAATGCAATCCCCATCAAAATCCCAGCACAATTCTTCACAGACCTTGAAAGAACAATAATCAACTTTATGTGGAAAAACAAAAGACCCATGATAACCAAAACCAACCTGTGCAATAAAGGAACATCTGGAAGCATCATCATCCCTCTTAAAGCTCTATTATAGCGCTATAGTCCTGAAAACAGCTTGGTATTGGCACAAAAATAGACAGGTAGACCAATGGAATCAAATTGAAAACCCTGATATGGACCCACACACGTAGAAACATGCGGTTTTTGACAAAGAAGCTAAAAATATACAATGAAAAGAAGGAAGTATCTTCAACAAATGGTGGTGGTATAGCTGGTGTGTAGAAGACTACAGACAGATCCATATTTATCACCATGCACAAAACTTAAGTCCAAATGGATCAAAGACCTCAACATAAATCCATCCAGACTGAACCTCTTAGGAGAATAAGTAGGTGGTACCCTTGAACGAATTGGTACAAGAGATCTCTTCCTGAACATAACACTGTAGCAGACACTGAGATTGACAATTAATAAGTGGGACATCCTGAAATTGAGAAGTTTATATAAGGCAAAGAACAAAGTCAACAAGACAAAAACATAGCCCACAAAATGGGAAAAGATATTCACCAACCCCACATGTGACTGAGGGCTGATTTCCAAAATATACAAAGAACTTAAGAAACTAGTCACAGAAACACCAAATAATCCAATTAAAAAGTTGGGTACAGAACTAAATAGAGAATTCTCAATTGAAGAATCTAAAATGGCTGAAAGACATAAGAAAGTGCTCAACATCCTTAGCTATCAAGGAAATGCAAATCAAAACAACTCTGAGATACCATCTTGTTCCTGTCAGAATGGCTAAAATCAAAAACACCAATGACAGTTTATGCTGGACAGGATGTGGACAAAGGGGAACACTCCTCCACTGCTGGTGGGAGTGTCAACTCATACAGCCACTTTGGAAATCAGTTTGGCAGTTCCTCATGAAAATGGGAATCAGTCTACCACAAGACCCAGCAATTCCACTGTTAGGCATATACCCAAAAGATGCACATTCATACAACAATGACATCTGTTCAACCATGTTTATAGCAGCATTATTTGTAATATCCAGAACCTGGAAGCAGCCTAGATGCCCCTCAACTGAAGAATGGATAGAGAAAATGTGGTACATTTACACAATAGAATACTACTCAGTGGGAAAAAACCCAATGGAATCTTGAAATTCACAGGCAAATGGATGGAACTAGAAGAAATCCTGAGTGAGGTAACCCAGTCACAAAAAGACAAACATGGTATGTACTCATTTATATATGGATTTTAGACATAGAGCAAAGGATTACCAGCCTACAATACACAATGCCAGAGAAGTTAGGAAACAAGGGGGGCCCTAAGAGAGGCATACATGATCCCTTGGAGAAGGAGAAAGGGACAAGATATCCTGAGCTAATTGGGAGCATGAGGGGAATGGAGATGGAGTTAGAAGAAAGAGAAGGGGAAAAGAGGATGGGAGAGGAGGACATGAGGGAGCAGGAAGATCTAGGTATGAAGAATAGAGGAGACCAAGAAAAGAGATAACCATAATAAAGGAAGCCATTATAGGCTTAAGGAGAAATATAGCACTAGGGAAATGTCCACAAATCTACAAGGATGACCCTAACTAACAATCTAAGCAATAGTGGAGAGGCTACCTTAAATGCCCTTCTCTGATAACGACTTTGATGACTACCTTATGTACCATCCTAGAGCCTTCATCTAGTAGCTGATAGAAGCAGAAGCAGACACCCACAGCTAAACACTGAGCTGAACTCCTGGAATCCAGTTGCAGAGAGGGAGGAATGATGAGCAAAGGGGCCAAGACCAGGCAGGAGAAACCCACAGAAGCAGGTGACCTGAACAAGGGGAAGCTCATGGACCCCAGACTGATAGCTGGGAAACTAGCATAAGACTGTTCTAGACCCCCTGCACGTGGATGTCAGTTTGGAGGTCTGGTTAATCTATGGGACCTCTGGTAGTGGATCAGTATTTATCCCTAGTACACGAATGGACTTTTGGAGCCCACTCCACATAGAGGGTTACTCTCTCAGCCTAGACACATAGGGGAGGGTCTAGGCCCTGCTCCAAATGATATGACAGACTTTGCAGATCCCCCCATTGAAGGTCTCACCCTCCCTAGGGAGCAGAAAGTGGATGGGATAGGGGGTTGGTGGGGGACAGGGGAGGAGAGGAGGAGGAGGGAACTGGGATTGACATGTAAAACAAGCTTGTTTCTAATTTAAATTTAAAGAAGGAGGAAGAAAAAGATGTTTAGCATTAACCCAACCAGCCAGTAAAAAAAATGTTAGTGGCCTGCTGGCTAGCAAATTCCTTTCCTGCTCACAAATTCTTTTCCATTTCGTTTCTGACCATGGCCCTGAGATTCACTCCTATAAAGAACTACAGAACTCCTGTCTCTTGTTCTTTTCCTTCCTCTCTTAGGATCATTTCTTTCCTCCCTGGTCACATTCTGAACCTTCTAGCCTGTAGCAGAGGCATTCCTCTGAGTGGTCCCTTCACTCCTACTCTGAGCCCCACTGCCCAGGCCCTGCCCAGACACAGCTTAGAGTTAATGGTTCCCAAGGGTCTTTATTTTTTAACCTCACTAGGTTTTCCATTATCTTGACAACAAAGCTTATTCCCTATCAGTAAGACCTCTATTATCTTCCCTCTTTGTTTTTTTGTTTGTTTTAGGGTTTTGGTTTGGGTTTTTTTTTCTTTTTTGTTTTTTTGTGAGAGGGTTTCTCTGTGGCTTTGAAGGCTGTCCTGGGACTAACTCTTGTAGACCAGGCTGGTCTCGAACTCACAGAGATCTGCCTGCCTCTGCCTCCCGGGTACTGGGGTTAAAGGTGTGTGCCACCACCGCCTGGCTTCCCTCTTCTTTATAATCAGATTTATCCCATGGAGTTC